AGTCGTATTTTGTAATAACCAACTCCATATTGCTCTATATTTCCCCTCACGAGAAGATCTACCGCAAAATATAGATCTATATATATATATATATAAATATATTAGGGACCCATGCGACGCGCTAGTGTTGAGTTACTTAAAATTACCGAAATCAAAATTATCACTGTGCATATTTTGGTTCGTATATAATGTATATGTAGGCATGAATATTTTCTACAATTCTAATCACGGACATTTATGCTTCAAAATACCCGAAATCAAATTACGAAAATGCATTACGCGGTTACAAACGGAACCATTTACAATGGGATTAACCCATGAACAATATAACCGACAGAAATAGTTAATGACATGTGAAAATCAAATGATTATAGTGATGTATTGTTGTTGAGTTACCTACAGAATGTAAAATCGAAGTGAACAAATTTGAGACAGATGGTGCGGTCAAGTGAAAGAAATACCTGTTCAGCCACCTGAAAAAAATATTTAATAAGATACTGCCACATCCAGATAAACCACGAATTGATCATGGCGTATACATTAATACATCCGAGTGTTACATATAGGAATCACTGTGTCAATTTATGTCGTGCTCAATTGATTAGTTCGAATACGGAATTGTAGACAAACTAGCAGTAGGAACGGTTCACGGACTTTCTAAAATGTGAACCAGTAATAAAACTGGTGGGTGGGTGAAATAAGGCACTCCTAGCTAACAATGTACACGAGTTGAATGAATGTTCCAACACGCTGAAGAAAAATCCATTTGTTGCTTGCTTATTTTTTTCCAGTGATAAGATTTTTTTCCTGATACACACACATTAGTTAAGGGTGAATGATACATTATGAAAACACTTTTTTCCTTAATGGGTAAATTCAGTTTTGTTATAAATCAATGATTGCAATATTTTATGTAATCATATGCACTTGTGAGCAGTGATTCATTCGACTCGCCATCGCAATAAAATCCGCGCAGACCACAACCATAGATTTACTTTCTCATATTGCGCACCGCTATTTTTCTCATCATCGCTCATCGTGCGCATTCGTAAACTTAGAATGAATTCAAAACAACAATTACTTTGCATTAATAAAACGTGTCAAAATAAATAATTGCCCAATTACCCCTCAATAGTTTCTTCTTATGTACGGCTTATTGACTTTTTACTACAACATAATTTGGTTTATTTCATAATGCCCTACTTTATTTCATAATGCTTCTGTCTGAATAGAAAACAACACAACGTCGTATCTCATTATTGAACTCGTATCTT